TTTAAACCCGTTATGGCAGTAAACTCTCTATCAAAACCAAGTATCTCCGTACGTTTCCCGTAGGATTTGAATCCATCTATATACACGGATTTAATATACATTTTACATGTTACAACACCCAAAACAATTAAGCGTCTATTATTAAAACGACGCCGCTTAAATGTACGATGTTTGAAATGTCAGATTGGTTGAGAGTTTACTTGTAAGCAAAACAAAAAGTAGTAGAAAATAAGGAAATAAAATTAGTAGTGGATATGTTGACTTAATTCAACAAATACTGAGGGCATTCAGTATTTTTATTAGCTTGTGTGGATTTCCTGTACGTGGATTATTATTTATCGCTCTATTTTAAATTAATAACAGTTATAGTTTTTTTTCATATGATCAAATTCAAACATTTTTCGGTTTTAATAACGTCAACTGTCATTGACATACGTTTAAAAAAAACTCACTTTTTTGTTATCTCAACTTATCTTTTGCTGAAAATTTAACATACGCATAGTTGTATTTGAAATGTCTCTCATTTCAACGAATTAAGGCAATTTTCTTTAATTTCGTTCTAACCTTAAAACCGAATTTGTGTCTCAACATAGTATAAATTAACTTTTTCAGTTTAGTCGAGAGTTTATTTGTAAGCTTAAGCAAAATAAAAAATAGTTGAAATTGAAGAAAATAGTATTAATGATATAATATTCAGTTAGTATTACGTTTATGATGTTCATATTAATTTGTTTTTTGTTAAAAAGTTTAAATTTAATTAAATTACACATAACAAATTCAAAAAACTTCTTTCAAATTAATTAATGAAACATGGAAGGTTATTTTTGCTAATCTGTAATTACTGTCTAAGAGCAAACTCTGTTTAAGGGTTTGTTGTAACCACGGTAGTAGAGTGATCACAGAAAAAACGCAGCCGATATCATCTAAATAAAAGGCCAAAAATTGAGTAGTCTTGTATCTAATATTATTCAGCAGGTCGATAGGATATTGAGCTGAGAGAAGAAAGATTTGAGCAGTGAAAGATTATGACGCCTGGTAAAGTATCTTCGCGTTAGAAATAAAACAAACCATCTAGTCGCTCGATGTTGGAAAACTTGTAGATAGCTAAGCTATACCGTATTAACATTATAAACTTTAGCTATCGAACTTTACTAAAGTTAGCTTAAGTTAGTTTGTTACTGGTATTAATTATAAAAATATAATGTCAATTGTTTAATTATCCATTTCATCTTGAAAATGAAACGTCTTAACTAACTTCTTAATAAATTCAATGATATAATTAGGAGCATAAAAAATCGAACGTAATAGTGATAAATTACAGAGCTCTGAAATCTTTTTTATGCAGTAATTTCGAAAGACAATTTTGTTTTAAACTGTGTATTGCTTCAATGATTTTAATTATATTTCTAACCCCACAGATTTGAAGCATAGATAACGAATTGCCTATCCCATTGTGATGTTTTTTTTATGGCGGGAAGTACAATTCTTGTATATATTTCAAAATTTATTGAAACATTTTTTGTATTCGCTACATTTTTAAGTTCTTTCGGGACAAAAAGCTTAAATATATGTTTAAACCAAACGTATACTCACCTTAAGTAATACTTTATAATACGTCACCAATATAATTACGTGCCCTCTAACACTGAGTAATTTGAGCCTAGTTAAAATGCATCTCCGCTTACTTTTTTTTTGCGGTGAGGAGGTGGAATGCTTTATGCACCGTGATCGACCGTAGTCGGAGTGGTGTGTCCAACTCCCTAATATTAATATGTAGTATATGGACTAAAAGTCTCCCCTCTTCGGTAAGACTTATTCCCCCTCTAAAACGCTTTCGCATTACTTTGAGGAGGGTCTCTTGAAATGCCAACGTTTAAGAATTTGAATCACATGACTATCGTTCGCCAGCTCTCTGGGTTTGCTCTCATCGTTTCCACTATATTTCGGGATTTATAGGTTCAATCTGGGCTATTATCTCGTCAGTACTCCTTGCTGTCGCAGTAGCAAGATTCTCATACCTGATCTTTATATAGGTTACAACTATAAAAGAGGTCGGCGAAATATACGTATACGTTTAATATAATATAGTTATTCTTACAACATAATACAAGTCTTAAAAATGTGTTAGAGGTCATAAATATTTTAGAAACATTTAAATCAGTTTAAAAACTTTTTAATAACAAAATAGTGTCAAGACATGAATCATAACGTCGTGTAAAAAAAGCAACCTCAGCCATAAGAACGGAAAACTTCAACTGCCGATCCCTGAATTGGAATAAAGTAAACCTCTGGGAATATTAAAAGTAGCATCGTGTTTAGTTCTTAGCTGTTGTTATTGAATGAGTTTCATAGTTCTTAGTCACGCTTACTTTATTAAAATACATTTAATTTTAATACACTTTTGTTTTTATTTTTAAGATTTTTATTGTTATGCTTTTAATATTGAAGCGCAATCATTATACAAAAAACTAAACATCCCATGGAATCGCAGCGAAGAAACCCAAACAACGTTAAAATATTAACGATATGATTTCTGGTAGCGTGCACGGGCACCTGGACCGCCGAACTTCTTGGGTTCACAACGACGTGGATCTCCTACCAAGAGAGTTCTGTCATATTGAATTAAAATATCCTTAATTTCTTTTTTGGAGGCTTCATCAACAACTGAAATTATAGGAAAATATTTTTATGTAATACAAAAGTATTAAAAAGGATTGAACATAAATTATAAATACTATAAATTATATTATAACAAAGAAATGTTATTTAAGCATCACCCATATTGTGCAATTTTAACAAAATATGGTTGGTATGTGCCCAAAGTTTATTCTGCCTAACATTTATCTTTCAAAGAAAATAATGGAATACATTTTCAATGAAAATCTGGTATTAGTAGGCATGTACTGTATCATAACAATCAAGGATAAAACTATAACTTACATTTTTGATAAAATGCAATCAAAGCCTTTGAAATAGCTTGACGGATAGCGTAGATTTGTGCTACATGACCACCACCACTAACACGTACGCGGATGTCTACACCGGCAAATTTTTCCTAAAAAAGAATTGATTTGATTCGTTAGCAATATTTATATAGACATTGTTAGAATAAAGTTATTAAATACATAATCAGTTAGTTACTTCTGTCACTTTCATAATTTATCAGTTTCGGGATAAGCAAATGCATCATTTGATATTTAAAAACTTAGTATAAACACATAAAAGTTAGGTTATGTACATACCCTGCCGAGCAACAACAATGGTTCTTGCAATTTGTATTGCAATACTTTGGGTTCAATTTGCTCCAATGGACGTCCATTTACGCGTAAAAGTCCCCGACCACGTTTGCAATAAGCAACGGCGGTGGCAGTTTTCTATAAATTGAATTGTATTAAAAATATGTTTATGTACTAGGTAAAAATGTATGCACGTGTGTATACATATAACACGATTTTTCGCACAAACCTTGCGTCCGAAAACTTGCACAGCATGAATAGGTTCCCTGCGCTAAAAATAATAAATTTTGTATTTTTTACTATCACACCTAAGTTACATATCGACCGTACAATTAAAATATATTTTTCACAAAGTTACCTTTTGCTGCATGTTGCTTGACGTTTTACGTGAAAAAGGACGGAAGTTTCGTTTTTTCCATTGAACCCTATTTAACGAAACTTTTTCGTTCAAACTACTACAGTGACATCTAGGTTTCATTTTTTAGACGCCGCAGGTTTTTAATTCATATTAATATATATATACTAATTTTAGATTTCATTTATATATATATTTTTATTTTTATATATTTTTATATATTTATAAATAAATATGCTTTTTGCATATTTATATTTCGCATTAAGAAATATTGTTGACAGAACTTTTATACACATTATTTACTTAACAATATATCACACAAAAAAAAATGAATATATAATTGATATATCAAATCATATACATATATACATTTTATACATCTATGTTGAATTCGTCGCAAATGCTTTAGCGCCATTTAGTACGAAAAACTATTCAATTTGACACAACAACCAACTTAAGTGTGGAAAAAAAGAGCAGCATTGTTTTTAAGAAGCAACACGACAATAAAGTGCGTTAACAAAACAAAATTTATAGTAATTGACGAATTGTAATTAAATATCTTAATTTACTTATAATAAAGAATTAATATTATGTGGCAAACTAGCCACATATTAATTACATATTCAATTAATAAAAACTAAGATTTTATTAAACACTTACTTTCTCATTACCTTTGTTTACAGCTCAACTGTTGTTTTTTACATTTTACATGTAAAACATATGACATATATTTCAAATTTAAGTGATTTTTCTTGTGGAAAATTTATTTTTATTGATTATTCGCCTTAAATGACCTGATTATTGATAATGAGCTTATTTGTATGGTTTGTATGGTAAATCATCCTCATTAGTGGCTATAATGAACAAAACCACCTAAATGAGGCAGTGTGAACTTGTTATTAATTAGGTAAGCAATAGTAGTGAAAAAATCAGTAACATTTTTGACTAATGTTTTATTTAAATTTTTGCGTTTTACAAATTGTATTTATAACTATAAAGGATAGTTTTGTGCAAAGAATTTATAATATAAATTTAATAAACTATTTTATAACAAATATAGTTATAAATATAGTTATAGTTATAATTATGTATAAAACAAATTTATTACTCCGGCATGTTCAATATTTGTTTGAATAGAAAAATCTACGTTGTTAAGTCATTTGCAAAGTTGCACAGAAAAATAATCACCATTTCTAAGGAAACAAAAAAAATCTTTAATACTTTAATCTCGATTATTGCTTTAATCTGGTTTTAATCTCACAATGTAAACGTAGTGTTAAAATATATATTACACAGTTCATACACGTTTAACAAACATAGAATATCTAAATAATCTCGTATGCAATGTGTTTCCATGTTTATAATATGTAGTAGAAATCAATCCATTTGAATGCAACAATGACATTCAATGCATACTTCGCTTTTGATCTCATACTTAGTTTTTAATGGCGTAAAAAATGTATTAGAAAAAATTTTTGATTAAAATTTTGATAAGTGTATCTTTCGTATCTTCCTAATGTTTAAGAAATTATTAATAAAATGGGAAATGATTTAATGGAAAATACCACGGAAAATATATTTAGTTCACAAATTGGTGATGTAGATGAACGGGAAGAAGGTGAGATTGTTGACGATTTCGAATATATTATATCCTCGGACGAGGCGTTAACAGTGAGAAAACGTATAGCAGAACTGGAATCTAAAAATGATGAAATAGAAAAAATTGACTTAATATCCAGAAGCTTCGCTAATGGTTTTGGTAATTATATTCCAATCTTATGTTGATTTTTTTGCGTAAGATAAAAAATATTTAGACAATAGATTTATATCAAGCATTATATCAGTAACAACATTTTTAATCTAAATTTTTATTAATATGAGACAAAAAATTGTATTGGTATTTTTAATTTTTTGTTTTAAGATTGCGGAAGTATAAGTGAGATTATAGCAAAATTTAGAACACCGTCAAATGAATATTATCACCATTTTCCGCGATCGCAACTCAATCGGTCAACAAACTTGATAAGATCATCGTCTTCAGAATCCGAAATGGGAAGTTTTTCATTAAATAGAAAAGAGGATCGAAAACGCAGAAAATTTCCAACAAAAAATTCAATAAATATTAGGTCTACATATTACAAAAGCAATAACCATCAACAGTTTCGAAAGGATACAAATTCTAAACGGTATGTACCAAACAAAAAGCGTCGACATAATTTTGATTACAAAAAATGTTCTTCACACATTGATGCTCATGAAGATAGTACGGATGATTGCTTAGTGCAAACTGATAACAGCAAATGTAGAAAGGAAGTTAAGTCGCAGGAATCAAGTTATTCAAAAAACCATGATCATTATAAGAAAAAGAAACCATTAAAAAATCATATAAAGCATATAAATGGCTTCACGAATGAGTACCAAAATTACTTACAAAATAACTTAAAGGATAGTAAAGAAATTTCCAAAAGCAAAGAATTAGTAGAAAACTTGCCTGAAAACTTGCCTCCAGAAGAAAAAATAGAAATTCCAAATGCTTCGGAAGAGGTAAAATTATGCAATAATATAAATGATAAATCTGATTCACAAGAGGAAGAGGAATTACGATTAATTGCTTTAAAATCAGCTATGATACAAAGGCATTTGAAACGCAAGAGACGAAATGCAGAATTAGCCTATTCCCCAACCGATTTTGATGAAATGCTAGCTTCAGTTGAGGCAGATAATAATTCTAATCTAGTTTTTGAAGTTGATTTAGATGAGAGTATTACTGAGATGGAAATAAGTCCAACAACTTCTCCAAGGTTTTCTCCTATTCCAATTGACGAAGATTTAAGCGACCGAAGTGTAGAGTTTGTTGCACAAAGCAATGCGATAGATACCAAACCTGTAGATATGGATATTGTTAATACTGAAAGTGAGAGTGAAAATGTTGTATACAGTGTTTCAAATAAAATGTTTGCCATTGATCCCGTAGCGTCTAGCAGTGATTGCAAAATAACAGATTTAGGTCCATCAATATCATATAATGGAATGGACTATGCATCATCATTGCAATATAGACTATACGTGCCTGATATGCAATATCAATTAAATATACCACCACCGCCTTTACCACCAGTTTTAAATGATTGTATGGAAGTCATACCTCCACCTCCGCTTTTTTGTAGTTACAATGAATTGCCACCACCCCCACCGCCACCTATATTAATACCTTTAGAAAGACAAAATGATGAGATTAGTGATGAAACAGAAATTATTGATCTTTGTAATGATACTGTAGAGGAAAATATAATAACCAAAGATATAACAGAAATAAAATCTGAAGATACATCTTGTATTCATGAGAATCAACAGAATAAAGAAAACAGTGAAGGAGAGGAGGAGGAAGCATTACGCGCTCTTTTATTATCAAAGATACAGTCTGGAAGAATAATAAAAAAAGAGAATGATATTTGTAAAACAGAAAGTACTGTTACTCCAGAATTAAAAATAAAAAATTTTAACAATATTTTTAAAAATGATGAAAGTCCTCAAGCACAAACACAAACACAATCAATACTGAAAGAGGCTGTTCGACGTTTAAAAATGATAACGGAAGGAAATGATGAAGGAGGCGTAAAATCGGAAATCATAGATAAGTCAGATAAATCAGATAAAGATAATATAAGTTTAGTTAAAGAAGAAAATGAAATGGAAAAAGACTTATGCTTAAAGAAGCTTAAAGAAAGATCACCAAATAAAAATAGTGCTTTAGATCACTTATTGGAAGAAAGAATTGCAGAACTAGTAAGACAGGAAAAAGCAACGGAAGTGTCTACAAGTGTAACAGTTAGCGACGTAAGTATTGCGAAAGTAGCAGGAAAATTAGACACAATTACAGTTAGCTGTGTTAATATTGGTGAAGAAACAGGAAAATTAGATACAGAGAAGAAAAATTTAACAACTGAACTGAATTTGAAAAATAAAACTAATGTTAGTGATATTAAAAGTAATAGGTCATTTAGTAGAGAACAATCTAAAAGTAAAAGTGATGATAAAATAAATGTAAGAATTGAAAAAAGTAAAAATATAGAAATAAAAAATAATGCCACTACTGTTATTGCTGGAAATAAAGAAATATATAATGCCAAAAAAAATGAAGACAGTTTAAAATTCATAAACAAATCAGTTGCTCCTAATTTAATCTTGACTCCTAAAATAAATGGTATAAAACAAATATCAATCAATAAAAATCTTTTAAGTTCATTTGATAATCAACTGAAAAGCACTGCAAATCCCACGTTTCCTATAACGGCGAAACAGCCAAGTACTTCGATAATAAATAGCATACAAAAATCAAATTCAGCTAGCACATTTATATCGACGGTAAGAAAAATTATTAAACCAAATAAAATCATTAACACAAATATGAACTTAAAAAGAAAAACCGTTGAAAATAATCCAAATACAAAATTTAAATTAACAAAAATGTCAAATGCAATCGATAGAAGCGTAAATACTAGTCCATTCGGTAGTACAACATCAACTACTTCGAAAACTTCACGTTTAGTTACACCGTCCGAGATTCCTAAACCTGTTGTACAAAAAATTATTATAAATCTGCAAACATCGGAGAGCGATATTGAGGATGAGGAAGAGGATAACCTAACTAATATGAAACAACTTTCAAGCTTTGATATAAATACAAATTACATCGATAATGCAAGTCCGTTGAGCTTACCTATGGATAGTCGTAGTAATACACCAATTCGCGTTAGCTCTCCTACAATTTTAACAGAAAAACCAATGATCAATACTAGTACAATAAAAGTTCGTAATGATATATTTGAACAAAAACTGGAAAACTTTTTGAAAAATATACGCGACAAATCAAAAACAAATATGAAAGATAATCACGCGGCCACAATGAATCACCGAAGGATTGTTAATAATGATAAGGTAAAACCCTTAGTGAGTATAATTCATGTAAATAATAAGTAAATAATATTAATTTTTATTCTTAGGCTGTACGACATTTACCCATTGCTGCTCAACATGAATACAGCAGGCTTGTAGAACGTATGAAACTATTAGAGAAACAAAGAGAAAATAAATTAAAAGAAAGTAATGAGAGTAACGGACAAAAAATACAGTCAAAAAATATTGATAATAAAACAAAACCCAAAATTACTCTTCCAAAAAACAAAACAATTGCAACGCCTAATATTACTAATCCAAATAGCAAAACAATTGATATTTCTAAGCAAAACAAGACATTTTCTACAAAACAAAATATGATGTACACTGAAAAAGATGGAAAACATAATTCTAGTCCTATAAAAGATACTACTGCAGTCTGTAAAAATAAAAGCATTGATAGTACGAATAGAGTAGAAAATATCGCATCTAATCATACAGCAACAACATCAATACCAAGTACAACGAAAGCAAATACAGCTATGATTTTAAGTCAGGAATCCAAAAGAAGAGTCACGTTACGTCTACAAGAAAATTCTTATAATAAATCTAGGTAAGTTTACTCATTTTTGGAATAGAGCTGTGTATGCAATTCATTCGGCACAAGTTAATGTCCACAAGTTAATGTCCGTTAACTGCTCATTTGGATTGAGTGGTTGATGTCATCCATGTTTTTTGTTTTTTTTAATTGATTTAAATTAGGCTGGAGAAATAGATTTTCAATTTCTTTTACGGATTTCGTTAAAAGCGTCCTGCTCTTCAGTATCATTTTGTACTTAAATCATTTGTTTTTTTTTTAGATGAGATAGTTGTCGTAGACATAAGCAATTCAATTAATGTAACGGCAGAACGCAAAATCTATTAGTTATGACAAAGTACTAAAAAGCAAAACAATCTAATAACAATAATACAAAAACAATTTCAATACGATAACCAATTATTTTGTGGAGAAAGATGAGGGTAGGTTTCTCTGTCTTGATGCTGGTTGACTTCAATTATAATCCCACCCATCCCCCAATTTATTTTCTCTCCCAAATAAGACCCTCTCTTATCACACAACCGATACCCATTCACATCGTAGCCTATGTATTCGTTTTGTAATTCCTTTCATGTTATCTGCTTTACAGATTCATGTAGGTTACAACAACAACAATACAAAGAAATTATCTATATTATTTATCTATATGAAATGATTTATATCAGCTGATAAAGGATTGTCCCTATGTTTGTGTCCAGTAATCACAGTTCAATTCATTCTTTCATTTCTCCTTATTTTGACTTTGGCACGAATAATCAAATATATTATTTTCCATAGGATAGAATGGGTCAGCTGATTTGTTACTCAAATGTTTCTCTCATGTGGTAGATTATTGATTAATTAAGAAAAAGTGTCATCTGAATAACGATTTAATCCATATGTTAACATTTATATAAAATTTTGCCGTATTAATGAATAGTCATCTTAAAAACTAATAGAAAATCCTTTACCAAGGATAATGTAAAAAGCTATAATGGAAATATTGGTTAGTTTAGCTGACCTCCTCCTGGTAACTGTAAGAGAATCACTTACACCGACTGATGCGTGTTACTGTTCACACGTAATCATTTAAACTTACTTTAACAAACTTAATGGCCCATGTCTCACTTGAGTTAAATTAAATATTGAAATTGGTTTTTATAACAGTTTTCGCACAGTTTACTGCATTTAGTGAATTGAAATTTGACTCATACTTAAATGCTGTTGAAAAGATGATGAAACCAATACATGGACAATATTTTTCTACTATAATTTTTTTAAATTTTCTATTTCACATTTGCACAGGCATTTTATTCTAAATTCTAGAGCAAGACAGTGAGCAGCGAAAGTAAGAAATATATATGTAATTTGTGAATACCAAAATAAATATTTAATTACTTACCAAAATGTTTCTTTTGCTTTTCAACACACACACACACACACACACACACTCAATCAAGCGGATTTCTTCATATACACTAATTTTCAATAATAGATGCAAAATTCATCAAGTGTAGCAAGCATCAAAAATTAATCCTCAAAAATTAATCAAGTGTGGCATGGATCTATTAGATTGAAAAGTTTACAATTTCATATAAACATATAATATTTTAGATTATACAGTCAAGTTTTCATAACACGAACTTCTATAACTAAAATTTTCCATAACTCGAACTACCATAAATAGTGTGCAACAAGGTTTAGCTCAGGTAATATTGAAAATTGACTTTGTCCACACACTTAAATGACTTGTTTTGTTACTTAAATTAAGGAATCGCTCGTAATTTTCCTTATTTATGTGCTTATCTATTATAAAATATATATCTATTTAT